CTACAGTTGGATATGCTCATAAAACTTTCCAGCCAGATGGGCCTGAACTACCCCTCTGTTATGGACTGCTTGTCTTCTGTGGTTATTAATAATATAAAATAACAGGAACAGTGATATTGATAGTTACTATTGATTGAGTGCCTTCTGCAACCACGGATTTTTTAAAAAACTCATTTTCACAACTCTAGATTTTAACTTACAGCAACGTAAGTTAAAGCTAAGATTTTTATATAACTTGTTTAAGATGGCTTAAGCAGTGAGTGGGAAAGGTGGGATGTTTTCAGAAATACCAGTGATTAAGGAGTAGAATTTCTTGATATTGAGAATAAAAGGCACATAAGAGAGTATATTTTAGGATATATGATGTGAGGCCAAATGCGATTTTCAGATTACGAAAGATGGTGAGAATACGATGGGATCCATTCTAAAGTGATTCATTTCTATGATAAAATTCCTCCTATCATTTGTTAGTGTACACAATGCAAAATATACTAAAAAGAAGAATGAAAGTAAATAAAATGGGACTATGGACGATTGAACTGGAGGAAAAAACCCAACTCAGGCCAGGCTCATTGCTGCACTTGCCTCTATTTCCCCACTGGTTCTCCTCCCACCCCCTTCCATGCCCTAACCTGGGGCTCAGCATATTTTCCTGAGTAAGGGACAGATAGTTCATATTTTAGGCTTTGCTTACCTCACTCTCTCTGTTGCAACTAAACTCTGCTGTTGTGATGCCGAAGCAGCATAGACGAGTGCACACACATGGCCATGGTTGGGTTAGAGGAGAGCTTCATTTACGGATACTTAATTTGAAATTCATGTAACTTTCATGTGTTATGAAATGGTATTCTCCTTTTGATTTTTTTTCAATCATCCAAATATATAAGAACCATTCTTAGCTCGCAGACTGTACAAACAGGCCTGAAGCCACATTGGGGACACAGTCTATGGTCTGCTGCCCCCTACCCTGTTGGCCTGACCGTCTCCCTCTGGTTGCCAAGCATGCTGCTTATTGTCTCTGTGGGTGTTTCTTTTGCTTCAAGCATTTAAATGTTGTTTTGGACCAAGACTTTGATCCTGGATGAGATTTCACAGGACCAAATAAGAGAAGTACTTTCACCCATATTTTGCGAAAGCAGAGTTACTGCTGCCAAGTCAACTTCAGCTGAAACAAATAGAAGCCATGGCTGCTA